GCTTGTTTGCATTGGTTCTGTTGTGCTGACAAACCATTCTGTGAAACAAATCAGTGAACTGAGATGGCTGAAAAAATAACTCTGTCAAGGGAGTTCTTAACAGGGGTTGTTTCACAGCAGTTGTTACAGCTGAAGGAGTACAGCAGTATAAATGACCTTAACCTGGCAGTGCCGCTGAGGAAAAAGGCACTTGGAAACAGGAGGGAGAGTGCTCAGTCTTTTTAATCCTCCAGCCTCTTCACATTTTTTTTTTTCCCCTGACTTTTCTGCTTCTTCCTTCTGTAGGATTGCTGTGGAGATACAGGAGTCAGAGCCACCAAGTGAACATTGACATTTTTTAGCCTCTAATAAGGAGGTTATAAAGAGTTACAAACAAGTCAAAACTAACAGAAATCTAATTTTGATTTTGATAAATACAATGCTAGGCATAGTAATGCCATTCCTGTTGACAAAGAATGACAGCTGTCTCCTGCTGCTGCAGCATATTATAAACTAATTCATTAAGTAGATGAATAGAAGGTCTTCTGCCTGTCTGTCTTGAGAATATCTATGTTTATGATCTAGACTCCGAGGTGAAAAATCAGTGAGCATTTTCAGTACTTCACAAGATCACCTTCTCAAGAAATGGTGAAAGTGCACTTCTATTTTGAAGTGTATTTCAACATGCAGACACATTTCACTGACTTTCCCCACTAACTTCTGAAAGATTGTATGGGTCTGTAAGTACTTTCTTTGCATTTTAAGTGCTTGAGTAAGAATACAGCCACAACATACTCAGTATTGAGTAAAAGATGTAAAGCCAAGGTAGGTTGGACATGCTGTGTGACATGCAGTGTAGCTTAGTTGTGCAAGTTAAATGAGAAAGTAGATTTTTATATTGGATAAGTTTTTCTGAAAAACAGGACATCTCTTGGATATTTTGCAACGAGAAGTTTTTGGAGAGAAGTTTTTAAGATGGTGGGGAAATTGTTACTTAAACGTTGCTAATTTTGTTGGTAACTATAAATGGTATGGTAGGAAGGTGCTATGGAGCTAAATTTAGGGAAGACTTGAAGGCAAGTTTCTGGAAAATGTGGAACCTTTAATTTCAAAATCAGCAAGCAAGAAGTTAACCTCAGTTTGCGTTTTCACTTAACTTCAAACAGAAATTTTATTTTAATGGTTGGTGTGACTTTTTGGTATTCCGCTACAGTGGAGAGAGCTGTGGCCGGACAGACGAGAAAGTTAACATTTTAGGCATGTAGTTTTTATGCTGGTCTGCACTGAATTTCTTGTGATTTCTTTCCAGAAGGCACTTCAGAGACACCTACTTTAAGTAACTTATGGCTTGCTAATTAAAGTCAACTTGTTAAAACAGTAGCTCTTCCCACTTAATCTCCATCAAAAACATTGAGGGAATGTTTCCCTGAAGAGGAACTTCTTATCCATGTGGAAAGCAACTGTTAAGCTAGCTCCAAGTGTCAGCCTATTGTGATAACTAACCCTATTTTCAGTCTATGTGTTAGATAAACCATAAACTACCACAGCAGGAGCTACTTCATGAGCTGTTTAGTCATCCCTTCAGCAGTGCTATCTCCCACAAAGAAAGCAACGTGGACAATGGAGAAGTATCTGCTTTATTGGCTCAGACCTTTACTGTGTGTCAAGATCCTTCAGTGTCTGAAGTAGCTATTGTGAATTTAGGCTGTTGTATAAGTCAATGTATAGACTCATTTAAGTGCTTTGTGCCAGAAAATGATGCACAACGCTTTTTTTATAGTTCGAATGGAGTTATGGGACAAACTTCAATACATAAAAGGATGTCATATGCTTTTGAAGACTTTTTTTAATATGAAACTCATAAAAATAGTTGTTGATTTTTAAATGGAAATCTGTACTAGATTATGTATAACAAATAAATTGATTGTGCCTTTTCGCTTATTCTGTAGAAGATCGTTCACACCTCTTTTCAAGTACTGGAAAAGAAGAGCCAGCATTGCTGCCTTTTAGCTGCTTTCTCTAGTCTCTTAAATCAAACCAGATAAAAAGCTGGAAAGAAAATCTTTGAACCTCTAGAATAGAGTAGTCCTGTCAAAACACTCATTAAACTGTTTCAAGGTGCACTAGTGAATTTGCTTTAGGCGCTTCAGACTACACATGGCAACTTGTTGACCCATTTAATATGCCGAATCAAGTTCACAGATGTAATTTGAAGTATCTAAATATTTTTAATACTTTGTAATGATGAGTCCTTTCTAAGGAAAGAATTATTGGTTGAGACCAGGTTCTAGTTTCACAGCTATTTCTAGGCTGTTATGATCAAGCCTTGCCTAACCTTTGAACATTGCTTGCTTTGTGCTAAGTTGGACATGTGTCTAGTCAGAAAGGTTTGGGGAACTGATGAAAATAAAACCTTTTTTCCTCTTTCGACTAGCTGACTTCAGATACATTTGTTTTGGAGCCTGTTTGGTACTTGGCTGTGTAAATTGTACAGATACAAAGGATGGAGTAGAATGTGGTTGCAACAAGTGTTAAGGGCTGTGGCCCAGCTTCAGAGGCCCTTGCAAAGATTTAAGCTGCTGTACAAGGTAAGGGCCAAAATCTTGCAGTGATGTACAAAAGATGGTAAGTTTAAATGATGAAATATTCTAAGGGTATGAGGTTATTCAGAATAATGTAGAAAGTGTAGAAGGACTTCAAGCTACTGAGTGACTGGATAATGAAGTGGCAAATGGAATCTGGTGCAAAAAGAAGTAATACACAGTGGGAAGAGAAACGATAGTCTGGGAGCAGTTAGAATGAGAACCTGCAGTTTCTAATCATTCTTTGAAATTTTTAACTCAAGGGCGGGGGCGGAGGGGAGGGGAAGGCTACAAATGTTATTAGTTGGAAAGGAGCAAAGAATAAAAAATGGCCTGGGCTGCCATGCTATTACTCTGCTATTGTAAACTTACTTTGAATGCTGCATGCATCCTGTCCCATTTATTAGAGGTTAGAGTAGAACTGGGGAAAAGCAGCAGTAACTTTAAACAGCTTTCACGTGAGAAGCAGCAGAATTGGTAGGATTCTTTATCTGGGAAATATGGCTGGGTGGGTCTAAACGTTGTTACTGGGGCATGAAGGGAGAAGATGGAAAACAACAGTTTAGCTTTCTGATGCAATGATGAAGGACGTCAAGTGAAGTGACAAGGTGCCAGCAGTGAAACAAGACAAAAGTGCTGCTTAACAGGTTCAAGAAAACATGTAGGAAAACTAGCAGAAGAAAATTCCATTAAGGACTAAAAAAAGTGAAGACATTACTGCTTGAGATCTTTGGATCCATAACCCATGAGAGACCTAGAGAATATTTGGGAGAGGAGTGTTATAAGTTTTGTCTGTTGCTCTGGTCTTCCTTAGTCATCTATCTGAGTGTTTTTGTGTTTGGGATCAGGCAGGACTTAAACTGGTGACCCAGTTGTGCATGAGGATGCCAGAGTTACTGGGCTAGATGGAACACTCGTCCAGCCCATTATGGCTGCTCTTCCTGTCATGTCATTGTTTAGACTTTGATTATAAATATGCTTAAAACAGCTGTCTAACTTTCTCGTGTCTAACCTTCCTCATTTAAACTGTTTAGAACAAAAAAAATGTTGATCTCTAGAATATTAACTTTTGCATTTTTGCATATTTTTGATGCTTTAAGCCATTATAATTCAAGTTTTATTTTCATATTGGACTTAAATAGTAAACTTTTTAGGGAGAAGGCATTCCCTTCTCTTTGAAACTTTAGAGTAACTTCTCTAACATCTGAACAGTAATCCTCATCAAACTATATGGGACACTGATTCGTTTACTGGTTTTGTTGGTGCTTTGTGATTAATTCAAATGTTTCTGGTGCTGATAATGTATCCAAGCTATCCTGAGTGAGGTGAAACTTTGTTCTTTCAGTTGACTCTATCCTATTTAACTCCCTGATCTGTCCTTGTGTCTGCATTGTAGTTATACATACATTTAGTTTCTAAAGAGAAAATATATTTGGATATAGGAATGGTAATTTTGTTTTATTGCCTCAAATTCTGCCTGTTAGTTATGAAGATTCTTTGTTGTGCATTATCTGGTTCTATTTTATAATTTTCTGTATTTTACTCCTTTACTTGGAGTGTAGTGTTTGATAGCTAGTCTGACATAAAAGCGTATTCACATGTGTATATATACTTATATATAAATAGGCTATATATTGTGGAATTGTATGAGGAAAAGATTATTGATTCAAGTAACTTATAATTTGGAGTTTCATATATGAAGAAAGGTTGCAAGATCTTTTTTTCCTTCCTTATTCTTTATGCTTCTGGTTATAACAGAGAGGAAAGCTTATTTTACATTAGAAAATTCAGATGTAGAAATTCTTCCTGTGCTAGAAACCTCTACAGCTATGCTTAGTGGCAAAGCATGGTGCTGTGTTGGAGGAACCTAAGTTAGTATAGACCTTGAGTTAGCATAGTGTTCAACCTGGTTTCTTTCTCCACCAACCTTCCCCGCCCATGTTTTTGTGCTGTGTTTGGTTTTGTGTGGTGTGGGTTTTTTTTGTTGTTTTGTTTTAAATTCTGAGTAACTGATTGCTGAGTACCACATTGTCTGCTACTCTCCCTACCCAAGGTAACATAGTTAGAAATGGCTTAGGACCTTTATAGCTTCCTTGGAATTTTAGAAAACTGTCAGTGACTCGAGTGACTAATGTTTTGCGTAAGTAATCCTGTGTTGAATATTTCTGATGCATTCTTTGCTTCTGGTGACTTTATGAAGAGTCTCTGAGCTGGAAAGCTTGTGTCTCCCCATCCTTGTTAACAGTAGTTGATTTCATAGAAGATTTTTCTTTATATAAACTTGTCTCTTTCAAATTTTGTAGACTCTTATAGTGGCAGAGGCACTGCTACTAAAGATGCATGACCAGGATTTTAGTTACCTGAAGTTCTGGAGTTAGTTAAGTGAGTTTTAGCTGTGAATCATATTAATATTTAAAATATATGGTTTCTTCCCTTTAGAGACTCTACAGCGGTGGGTAATTCACTGGTCCATAAGCGGTCTCCTTTACGTCGAAGCCATAAGACCTCAGCATCTCTGACCAAGCTGTCGTTACGTGATGGACAAAAAGCCAAAAAGCCACTGTGTAAATTTGAAGAGGGTCAGGATGTCCTAGCTAGATGGTCAGATGGCTTGTTTTATCTTGGAACTATCAAAAAGGTAAACAATTTTTTTTAACTTCACTGGAGTCATACAGTATCATATGTTGGTTAAATATTACAGTATTATTGTCTCACTTAGTATTAAATACATTCTTCTGTTTAGTCCTTTTACTCATGGCTTCCACTGTATTTTTGTTTTTCAGATAAACAAACTGAAACAGAACTGCTTCATTATATTTGAAGACAGTTCCAAATCCTGGGTTCTCTGGAAGGACATACAAACAGGCAAGAACTTCGGTGAAGTAGTCATTGTTTGGTATTTTGTTTAGATTACTCTATCTGTTAAAATAAATTATTACATTATATTCTTGTATCCTAAAGAGTGATATAGTTTAATGTGACCCAGGATCATGAATTAGGCAAATTAAAAAAAAAAAAAGTTTCTTTTCAAACAACTCTTTATCATTGCAGTTACTGTTTTGTTTTGGGTTTTTTGTTTGTTTGGTTGGTTTTTTTGTTTTCACATAACTATGTGCAGGGAGGGGAGAATGCTTCTAAAAATAATCACATTTGAGTTTCTTTGGATGGGGATAGAGTGTGATACTCTGTCTTAACAGAAAACTCCAGGCCCTAATTTACACCAAGTTTATGTCCTCCTATTGTTTTCAGTTGAAACAACATGACGTGGAAAGAAACCAAAGACTGGAAAATCCTAGGTTTGAATGGAGTTTTCACATTTAAAAGTAACACCATAACTGTTGCACATAAGAAACCATTACAGATTTTGGAGTATTCATGTGATATAAAGAAATGTGCAATTATCAAGTGAGACATCTATTGTATATTAGCTTTGATTTTTCAGATATTTGGGGAGTAGCTAGTATTTTGATAATCTAATGCTAATGAAGCATGGATGACAATTTCAGTGAGAATTTATTCTGAAAATCAGTTACAATTTCCTCATCATATAAAGGCAGTGGAAATCTGATCTGGCTCTTGCTGATTCTTGATATTTAAACTAAACACTTTATCTGCTGGTAGGAGAAGCTTTGTATTCATAATAGCAAAAAATCAACTCCTTTATTTCTGAGAAGCTCTTAAAATACTGCTGTTGTGCTTCTGTATAGTACTAGTTTATGATCTTTGATTCATTTATCATAACGATCAAACTTTAGTGCATTAGTGTGATAACATGTTGATTAAGTTATTTGTATTTTAATCCAGATTTTTACATTGATAGGTGGTATAGTCGGCGCAAGATGTAGTTTTGTTTCCGGTTTGCAAGCTAATGTTGGTTTTTTTTTTTTTTTTTACCTCTACTGTTACTGTGTGCTTTTGCATGCTTGCAGATATGTATAAGAAGTAATAACGTATTTCCTAAGAGTGTTGGAGTTCAATATTAAAGCACCTTGGGCAGATCTGTCAAAAAGATATGCACCAAATTGTCCATGTATTTACACGAAAACAAGCACAAACTATTGTAAATACAAAACATATCTATCAGTTGTCCAGATAGGATTTGTTTATATGTTTGTTTTTTTAACCTGCCACTTACGTTCTTTATTCAGTTATTTAATTTTTATTGTTGATATTAAGGAACCATGGACTGCATAGTAAAGAGGCAGCATATAGCCTATGATAAGTGATATAAATACTTGTAACATGTACAGTCTGTACAAAATGTCTGAATTTATCTCCGTTAGGAAGTTAGGCTCTGTAACAATATTTTTCTACAATGCATGGATCTGTAACCAAAATTATTAAAAAAGCCATATGTGTGGTAACCATTCCAACTGCAGATGTAGTCTGAAAAAAAATCACACTTTCATCTTTGTCTAGGAGCCACTGAAAGTGGGGAAATGGTCTGTACAATATGTCAGGAAGAGTATTCAGAAGCACCGAATGAAATGGTTATATGTGATAAATGTGGGCAAGGTAACGATATCTTTTTATCTCTATTTACTGCATTTTGAAAGATGTTTCGATTTGCTTTATGAAGGAGGATATTTGCCTGGCTACGACTGACTGCTCAACTGATCTTAAATTTTATAGCCCTTAGTGGCTATTAACAGCTCAGTAAATAATGATAATCCATGTTAAAGTATCTAACACCTGTTCTGTAAGTAAAATTTATGTTTTCCACTAAGAAAATTTCAAAGACCATTTTGCATGTGTTACCAATTTTTTTATCAGATTTTTGGCACTTAATAATGGGTAATGCCTTATAGTTGCATTAAAATTATATGTAGTTAATTTTGTGTAAGCTGCTCCTGCCATTTTAGTAACACTTTGGTTGATCATTTTTTACACAGGTTATCATCAGCTGTGTCATACACCAAATATTGATTCCAGCGTGATTGATTCAGATGACAAATGGCTCTGTCGACAGTGTGTTTTTGCAACAACAACAAAGGTGTGTTTCTAGAAGAACATTTCTTAATACATCCCATACTGCATGCATGCTTTGTTTTTGAAGTTGAGAGAAAAAAATAAAAGAAATAGCATAAAAGAAATAGCATTTTTTTCAGTGATTTATTTTTTAGCTTTGATCTGAATGGAATTTTTATATTTTGGGAATTAATATTTATTTTAGAAATAGATGACATCTGGCTTTCGATTAATTTTTAAACAAATATGCTAGTATTAAAACATAAATAAAGTAAAATACTTTCACCTGTATTATAGACAAATTTTTGTAACTTTCGAATTAAAGGATTTGAAAGTTTCAGAAATATATTATTATTGTTGTAAACTAATGTATTTGTTTTGGCCCAGAGGGGTGGTGCACTTAAGAAAGGACCAAATGCCAAAGCACTGCAAGTCATGAAACAAACATTACCGTATAATGCAACAGACCTTGAGTGGGATGCAGGTCATAAAACCAATGTCCAGCAGTGTTACTGCTATTGTGGAGGACCTGGAGAGTAAGTAAACAGATAATACATAAGAGCTTTTCTCTGTAATGCAGCTGCAGACTTTGGCCCTGATCCTGTAGACTTTTACTTGTGAACTTGTTGGTTTCTGTTTCTATTTTGTGTAGGTATTAAACTCGATGCAAAGTGGAATTTTGAATTTTATATATCTCTTTTTTTTAAACGTCTCATGGGAAATACATGATTAATGGCTTTCCTTCTTCCATCAAATCTTTTGGTTTGTTTTAATTTTGCCATGTGACCATCACATAACATCACAGTCCATTCTACAACAAGCAAGAATGTATTTTTTTTGCATTGCTACTGTTAATATGTTGACATTGGATGGAGTTGTTTGATCTTCTTGCAATTCTAGGCAGTGTTTTTCTGATGTTAACTCAGCTCTGTAATTAGTCACAAATATAAATTTATCTAGAGATTAGTTTAGTAAATTTTGTTGGGCTAGACAGGTGTCTGATTCTACCATAAGATCATACCCTGGATTGCAATTATTGGCGGGGGAAAGACTTTTTTCCTCTTATGGCATTAGAGGGTCCTCTGCTGGTTCTTTCTTACAAGAAAGGCAAGAAGAGGATTTCTTAAGCAGGTAGAGATGAATACTCTAGTGTCTGCATGGATGAGGGAATGAATAAAATAGCATTGAAGATTTGCAGTCAAGGAAAGTCAAGAGTCCCACAAAGAAGTGGAGATTTTGAGTTTATACTCACAGAACAGAGCTCTGGTTTGAGAATTTTGCAGACTTGGACAAACATCGCCTTCAGTTTTGCATGGTTCCTTTTCTCAAGGGAGAAGCAAAAGAAGGAAAAGAAAAAAAAGTGTAAACTATGAGGTTCATTTTGAGGATTCAAGTATTTGAATCTTCAGTACAAATGTTTGTAACTGTACCATGCTTTGGAAAATAACAAGGAAGCTAATCCGGTATGCGAGAAGGAGCTTATATGGAGTTACTGAATTCTTATTATTGAGAATTTAAAGGTGGTTGTCAGAGGAAATTAAATTTTTATTTTCTTTAACTTAATTCTTCCTTTTACTAGATGATCTTGTATTATTCTTAGTCAGTCTTTTCTAGTAATCATTCATTATGGAACTTTGTTACTGAAATATCCCTACAGATGACAGTTTGTCTTATAAACTGTGAAAATCAGTTTTGGGTCAGAAGATCCCTTGCTATTTAATTTAAATGTAATGAAGAACAATTTTCAGCAACTTTTTTAACACGTATTGTTTTTCTTTCTGTTGGTGAAGCTGGTATCTAAAGATGTTGCAGTGCTGCAAATGTAAGCAGTGGTTTCACGAGGCTTGTGTGCAGTGCCTCCAAAAGCCAATGCTTTTTGGTGACAGGTAAGAAACTTAAGCTGTACTTTATGGTTGTCTTTATTTAAAATGAGGAGGGAATCTCACGTATGAGCTTTTATTAAGGCATCTGTAATACAACAGTATTTTCCAAAGATGGGGTGAGTTTTGTGTAGAAAATAATATGTAATAAAGCATGTGTTCAGGTGCCAGGAAAATGCAGTTCTTCATCTGTGTTTAATGAAGGAGGGTGGGGTGGGGTGGTGGGTGGTGGAGAGGTAACCAATGGATAGTTAAATTCAAACTGTTACTGACTTCAGTTTGTGTGGAAGTCCGTTATACTATAGGTGCTGGCTACTGGGAAATTGGAAGCTTTAAAGCAGACTACCTTAGTGGGCTCATAAGTTAGATATGGGCTTTCAAGTTCACATTGTGTAGGTGACTAATCTCTTGTATGCAACAGGCACCATGCTTTAAGGTGGGCTATCAGTGTGTGTGTGTGTGTGCACAGTAGTAGTTCCCTGTACTAACAGTATAGGTAACTGGAGAAAACTGGGAGGATAGTTAGACTGAGGGGAACTCTGTACATCCTCTGTTCACGTATGATGAGTCGGGACAAAAGGAAATGAGAAAGAGCGCTGTTCTGTGCTTCCATTTTAAGAGGAACTTGGAGCAGTTGGAGCAGATGAGAGAGAGAGAAAACTGGAGAAGGGCATCACGGAGTATCTCATTCATTAGCTATTATACATTCTTTTAGCTGTTGTTTGTGCTGGAATGTTTGTATGAGGGAACTGAGTTAGGACCCAGGAATGCATGGGTCCTTTAAACGCATTCTTACACTGGTGCACAGGTTTCTGCATTTGAGAGAATGGAGTGGGGACATTACAGAGCATCTTCACTGATATAGTCACAGGTTGAGGGGCATTCTTAAAGAGTATGAAACAGTGGTACCAGGATAAAATTGAGGAAGTACCTTGTATCTGGCCTGGTAGGTACTGGCACAGATTGTGGAAATTGATAAAGGAAGGTGGAAGATGAAGGGACTCTCGAATATCATATGGCTGGGTTCCTAGCCTGCTTAACTCTTCTTTTTTTTTTTTTGTTTTTTTTTTAATAACTAGGATGTTAGTGTTAAGAGTGTGTGTGTGTGTACAGACACCCACCACCCAGACACATGTACATATACATATGTATATATTTTTAGGTTTTATACGTTCATTTGCTCAGTTTGCAGTTCTGGACCAGAATACCTCAAACGTTTACCCTTGAGATGGTAAGTATAAACTAAAAAAAAAAAAGGGTGAGTTGAATACCTGCTCTGCTTTTTCTTTTTGGTATTTTGATTCGCCTTGCAAAAAAGGAAATCTACTTGCTGCCTTGAGTTGTTGCCTGAGTTGTTGCTGCTTGTATGAACAGGGACAACTTTTCCTTCAAAGCTTATCCTTAAATGTAGAGAGATATTGCAATTATGTGCTCTTGGGATTTATTCCTGGGATTGTTCAGTAAAGTAGCAAGCAACTACTCACTTGTTGTATATGTGAAGATTGAGATATCTGAACAAAGTCTTTTTTGCAGGTTTAGGATCCTGCCGTTAGAAAAGCCAAATGTAGTGAATACTAGAGTATACATCTTGACACGTTTTATAATAGTTTCCTTCGTGAGACTTAATGGTTAATTGTAGCTTGAAATCTTTGAACTAATCCATATTAGAAATTATATCCAATTTAGTGGATATATGTGCTAATAAATATATGGTGGAAATTACCATGTTAAATGTTAATTCACCAAAATACTTGCATGAATTCAGAATTGATACATTCAAGTATGAATTTGGACTTACTTAAATATCCTATGGTTTAGACCAGTATCGGACTTTAAAAGAACATCATGACAATGAGATGAGGCAGAGGTGAAAGTAAGAGTCAAAGCAGAAGGAATCATTTGAGGAAGAGAAATGACAGGAGACTTCATAATATTGTTGTCTGCATTGAGTGTTTTAAGTTGTGCTTTGTGTTCCTCTAACCATATTGTGCTAATATATTTTCTACTAAATTATTTCCAAGAAAAGCAATTGGAAGAAAAAGACCTTTTTCTCTGTTTTTACTCAAGTATCTTTGAATTCTAGGGTAGATATAGCACATCTATGCCTTTACAACCTAAGTGTTATTCATAAGAAGAAATACTTTGATTCGGAGCTTGAACTCATGGCCTACATTAATGAAAACTGGGATAGATTGCATCCTGGTGAGGTAAGTAATTGGAATACTCTCTCTTGTTTTTCCTCACAGTGCAAATATATGTCCTAAAAGTTAGCGACTTATGAACTGTTTTATTCTGGATGTTAGATCCTTTGTTACCTTAAAATCTAGTAATCCCAAATAATGAGGAGACCATCTTTAATTTCCTTGCAAAATAGAATGCTTTTTAAATGGTGTGTGTTTTTCTGAGCTATAAAATTTCTCAAGTGGTCCATGTAACTATTATTTTATTATTTGCATGGTAATTTTAATTATTTATACTCAACTGTTTATTCTGTTGCATATATGTATTTTCCTTTTCTTTCATTTTATAATTGTCTCATAGTTCCTTGATATTTTCATGTGCACAGACGAGAAAAATCTAAATGTAGAACTAAATGCAGAGTACATTGCATATGAAGACATCTTCAAAGTCTTTAAGGTTTAACACGTAACAAATTATTGTACATAAACATTTCCTCTTTCCTTCCTCTTCCAAAAATGGGGGTGATCAGTTCATGTCCAGGTCTAAAGACTGTTCTGATCCTTTTCCAGTCTGATTCTGCTACTTGTCAAGGCATCTTGGTTTTAGTTCATTACTATACTAGTTATTTTTCCAGCTATTTGATCTACTGGGCAGTTATCTTAGCATTAAAGGAGATCCAATTCCCCAAGTAGACTGAATTCATAGTTAAGCAAGAGGAACAGTGTAGATACTTGTTTCTGAATGTAAGGTTGGGGACAAAATTTATGTCTAAATTCAAATTGGCATACTGCTAGTAGAGTATGTACTTTATTTTGTGCATGAAAATTGTTTAGGGTTTTGAAGTTTAATACAGGTGGCATATAACCGATTTCAAACTCTCTTATCGTGAGTACATCCTACTTTTATACTTCTTTTCAGTAAGTTCATACATGTGTAATCCATTTTTACTAGCAGAAACAATTTGAGAATCAAATGTATATTCTTAGTTTAAATAACTACTTGTCACAAATAATGGAAAATAGTTTAAAATACACGTTAGACTATGAGTGTCAATAGTTTGTTAGAAAGGCAAGCAAACACTCAAGCATTACTAAAAATGACAATTAGCGTCATTATGAATAGACATCTGGTTTACTTTGGGATGTATAGCATCTCTTAGCTAAGTCATACCAAGTCAATAATGCTGTTATATCAAGCCTTAAGCTTTAATTAAAAAAGGCTGCACAAAATGGTAATTCTCACACCATCTTTTCAATACAGCGAAATATTCTCACTGTCTTACTGTACAGTTTAACAAATATGTAAGCGGTGTTAAGTTTTTACTTTTGTTTTTCTTACTATTGAGGGAAATGTGGAAGAAATTAATGTTTGTTTAAAGAAAATTATATTATGTGAAATAAATTTAACATAATTTCATGTCAGAATGGCTGGTCAGAGCAGCCGTGCTGTGGATGAGGAGAGTGGAGCTATCTGGCTGCCACTGACTTGGAGCACACATGCCATTTTGAAAATGTTGAAAGGCTACAGTCCTTATTGTGCTGCTCTACCCCCTTTCGGCTTTCAATCCATCCATGCTCAATCTATGTGAAAAACACATAACTAAGGGGGAGAAAGGAGAGGGGAGATCCAAAATAAAGAAACTCACTTCTTTAAGTGGGTACTTTCAATTCCTTAATCAATATTTCTACACCTTCAAGGAAAGTACTTTTAAGTCTGAAGACTACATTTTTGAAGGGGTAGATTTTGAATAAATGCATAAAAGCTGTGTTGAGGAAATCTTCAAGACTTTGTTCTGAAAAGATTCTAAATGTCTGTCACGAAGTTGGGAAAAATTGTCTTGAAAAATTTGAGGCAAATTTATTTTACTTCTTTGGTTAATCTGGTTTATTTATAAAACAGAAGTTAGTCACAGAAAGAATAACATCTACAATATAATGGTTTTAGGGTTTTCATAATATTCTTGGCTTGCCACTGTTAGAAATGACGCTTTGGTTTCTTTCTCTAGCTGCTTGTAATTGAATAAGAGAAAAAAGGTTTTTTAGCCATAGGTAAGGTGGGAGTAAATGGTGGAATCATCAGACCTCCTAAGCCAGTAATTTTTAGCATGTTATTTAGGAGGCAATAAATATATGGCAGTTTTCTGTATTTAAGTGCTACAGAGTTGCAAGACCTCCGGGTAGCAATGGATTGTACTGAATGCATGTGGTAAAGATGTGTAAAAACAGTTGGTGCTTTCTTTGGCTAAAATTGGTTGAATACTTCCCTTAACCTGACATAGACTGACTGTGAATCTTGCCCAAAATTGTGTTAAAAGGATTGGTTTTTCTGAGTATATTGACTCATTTATTTAGCTGTTAGCACGCTTAATCCTTTGAGCATTTCTATCTGTCCTGTTTGGTCAGAATTGTATTTAGAAAGTATTTAAAGATGATGTGTGGGTTGTTTTTTTTTAGCTGCAAATGTACAGTCTGCTCTGTAGTATCCATACTAATAGTGAAACTCATAAACTGTTTGTCAACTCTATAATTAAAGACAAATTTACTGCAGAGCCAAGTGGATATAAGATCTGGAACATTTTGGCATGGCAACTGGAAATGTGGTAGCTTCACTGGAATTTAAAAATGGCTGTCTAAATAAAAAAATAATCTTGTTTTAAATTCTATTACATAAATGTTGTGTCCGCTTCTTTATAGTCACCACCGTACTTACTCTGCTTTATATCTCTGTAATTCATAAGTATATAGTTTTTCAGAGAGCAGATTCCATGTTTTGGTAGCTTGATAGGGACTAGCTATTTCAGGCTGTGGTGCAAGAAGGGAGGTTAGACTGGGTCTTAGCAAATGGGGCCTGAAAATGGATTTACTTTTTTTTTTAAACTCTAGTAACTTTTCTGGGCCTCTTCTATTTTTTGTATCATGTTGAGTAATGTTGGCAAAAATGGGAATTAGGTCCTGTGGCAGATTAAAATGATCACCAATAAAATAACTAAGTTTTTGTGTCAATATAGTTATATTCTGCTTGCAATCTCAATTCATTTGGGAGTACGTAGTGCCACAGAAGAATTCTTGTTAGCAGTCTTGGGAGGGCAAGCTAGTATTATGTTCTTTTAGTATACTCAAATTCTTTTAGATACTTTTCTTGCACTTCTTACAAGTGAAACTCAAATTATTCTGCCTGGGCTTGATCTTGGCATTAATTCTGTGGGTGTAAATCACAGAATATATGGGATAATGATTAATATCCTTTGGGGTTAGGTAGTTTCCATAGCTAATACTTCATAAATGTACTTCACATCCAAATCTGTGGTTACAGTAACTCAAAGTAATGGGAGTCTTTCTATTACTAAAGAATTTGACAGGTTAAATGATTTCTTAATACTTCACAGCTGGCAGATACACCAAAATCTGAAAGATATGAGCATGTACTGGAGGCATTAAATGATTACAAGACCATGTAAGTTACTGGTACTTTTTGTTTTAAATGTTGTTTGCCTATTTAAGCTGATGTAGATTAGTCTTCAGTCTCCTTTGCAGAGTCTATCTGATAATCACTTTGGCTGCAGATAACATGTAAATTTTAAATACTGTTTCTATTTCAAACTATAACATTACATAACTATTTGAGTGGAACCCAGATCATGAGAAAAAATTTGTTTTAACTTCCATTTGCTTTCCACTTCACATTCTGTATTTGAGAGTGAGGATTGTGTTAGGGTAAAGAGCGGAATAAAATAGCATTAGAATGAGTATTCTAGTTTGCATAGTTTTGTTTTGCGTGTACACTGTTATTTTAAAAGTTGCTTTCCCTGGGCTCAGAATTTTAACAATTAATTTAAAATCATCTAGGTTTATGTCTGGAAAAGAAATAAAGAAGAAGAAGCATTTGTTTGGCCTGAGAATTCGTGTTCCTCCTGTGCCACCAAATGCTGCTTTAAAGGCTGAGAAAGAACCAGAAGGAACTTCTCATGAGTTCAAAATTAAAGGCAGAAAATCATCTAAACCAATCCCTGATGTGAGGTAAAATAACCCAGTCATTCTAGCAATGTTGTGGTAAATTGGGGCTACTTCGGGTATATGTTTTGTGCCTACAAAAAAGGCATTTTCATTGTATAATGTATTTTTTTAAATAACTGTAGAGGTGGACTATTTCTGAGAACAAGGTCTTTGAATGAATTTAATTAGCTTTCTATTAGAAGCCTTTTAAAAACAAAACAAAAAAACCAACATGAAATTTAGCAGTAAGAACAATGGAAAATATCCCAACTTTGCTGCCATTTGGGAAACAAAATCTCTTGCCTTTCTGTGGAGCTCTTATGCAATAATGTAACTAGAATTCTAATAGGAAATATGATTTGAGGTTGTAACTTGTATTAGTAAATGTGCCATCTTTTTTACCAAGTGTGATCATATGAATAAACAACACTTAACGCTTGTTCGTTCCTCTTCAACATTAGAGAATCAGTAATGTCACTAGAAAGATCTCATATGTGTTTACGTTATTCTAGAGGCAAAATTATGTAGCGTTGTACCTGGCAATTTTGATTTACCAGAATAACCTCATTTAGCACAATGTTTTAGCAGTAGACATCTAATTGTGTATTCATTGCCAAAGGAAAACATGTATTCAATGAAAATTATCTTCAATAATACAGAACAAAATATAAATTTTCTTCTAGGGAATTAAGTAATGGTATAGAAAGAAAAGGGAAAAAAAAATCAGTAGGTCGTCCACCTGGTCCCTATACAAGAAAAATGATTCAAACATAACCAGTTAATTTGAATCATGATATTCCCCCATTCACCCTCAAACAAAATTGATACAGCAATTAAAACTTAATTTGAAGTACTACTTCTTTCTTTTTTTTTTTTCTTTTTTTCCTTAGGATAATGAACCAGTTCCAGTGATAGAGAACCCAGCCTTGGAATTACCCTGCACTGTTGGGTAAATTAAAAAAAATAAATAGAAAAAAAAAATTCCCTGTAAAACATTTTAATACTGTGTCACTTATTTGTTTGCTTCTGAAATGTTAGCTCAGTTTTTAATATAAGATTATTTTCATTACATGGCAACCCTGTTATCTTGCATATCAGGAAATCTGATGGAACTGCACATTCATCCAATACCTCAGATGTGGAATCCACAGGTGCTGCCAGTATGAAAGAAACTACCTCATCTAGCATTTCCAGACATTATAGGTAATTATTCAATTACTCTATCTGCTATAAAGATTAAGATTTACAATATATTCATTTTAATAAAATTTTCTGAAAGGGGGGACAGGAAACA